CATGTCAGATGGTCCTGACAGACCCTGTTTACACACTGCCCATCAGCAAGGGCCAGCAAGACCAAGGCCCAGCCCTCACCTTGTCCTGAGCAAGCACCAAGGCCTTCTTGGTCCAGCTGTGGGGAGGTAGGGACAGGGCTGGCAGAGGAGCCAAGTGTGAGGCTCCCCAACCAGCCTCTCCTGGACCCCCAGCATGCTCACAGGAACACGGCAAAGGAAGTGGAAGCAGGTGTCTACCAGGTGGACCCCCTGCCCCTGCCTGCTTCCTCTCCTGCCCACTCTGGTCACAGACCTGGGGGTTCTGCGTGCTTGTAGCCTAGAGAGGAAGCAGGACAGCTCACGCTGGGCTGCTAGAAAAGGGTCTTCTGAGACCAGAAGACTCGAGATGGGCACTTGGGGTGGCTGAGGGGTGGGTGGAGAGGCGAGAGGCAGGTTCTTCCAGCGGTCAAGTGGCCAGTCTGATGCTCGTCAGGGTGCTAGTGACTCCCCCTGCCCTGTCACCAGCTCTGTGAACTCCAGCAAGAGAATCCAGAGTTTGTTTTTTTGGAGACTTCAGATGGGAAGCCGGCCCAGGGTAGGGCACCCTGGAAGCAACTGGTTTGTTCAGACACTCTGGACTCTAGACTGTTAGGCAGGGAGGCAGGGACAGCACCCACGTCCTCACTGACCCTCCCACTCTCCACCGCAGTTTCTCAGCCAGAAGAGGCCGTTTCTTCCTGAGGCTTCAGGGGAGGAAGGGAGCGTGCTGAGCTGTGGTCTGGTTCCAGGACCCTCAGGGCCTCGGTTTCCTCCCCTGCAGTGAGGAGTGGCACCTACAGTGAGCAGCTGGAAGGATGAGGGGACCCCATCTGACTCCAGTGGTGCTGAGGACAATGTCCCCTGCTTGGAAAGTACCACGGGAATGAGTGTGAAATCCCGTCAGGGAGTGCAGAGAGAGTGACAAGGCCCCCTTCTCATGGCGCGTTGGCAGCGACTCTGCTTCCAAATCCTTTCCTTCCACTGTCCCATCTCCCTGACACGACCAGCACCGGGACACGGCAGGCCATCAGAAGTGCTGCGTGAACGGATGGCTGGTGGGGCGTGCAGGGTAAGCATTAACCCGTGAGGACTTCTAAATGAACGCCCACTGTCCAGAGCACAGGCCAGGTGGTCCTACAGACGCACATCCAGCTTTCGCCATGGACAGTCAGCCGGCGCACCTGTCACCTTTCCTATTCGATGGGACGAGCAGCAGCAACTGGCTGACCCTGGACGTTATGCGAGGCCGTGTGCGATGTGCCCAGTACATGCAAGGGGAATTATGCCCGCTGGTCACAGATGGGAGCTGAGGCCCTGGCAGGAAGAGTTAACGGGGGTCACCTAGAGCCCTGCCCACCTGGCAGCAGGAGTGTGAGCTTTGACACATGCTTGGTCTGCATCTGGCTCGGCCACACCTTGCCCTGCCACCTTCCAAGGCCTCAGAATTCTCTCCACCTAACAGGGAGGTTGTGAGGCCAGGAGAAGTCACACGTGGAAGCCACTGAGCCCAGCCTGGCAGTGATGGTGGTGCCGGAGCCGTAGCACAAGGCCCTGCAATGCTGGAAGCCACAGGGAAGGCCGGGGCCGGCTCCCAGGTAGATGAACCCATGGACGCTGGGTGCATGTGCATGCCACTGATCTCATCTGGATGAAAGGTGGGCCGTGGCTCGTGGCATGAGTCCTTGGTGAAGGTGCTTGTCGCTCTCATGAAAGAAAGAAATAAACTAAAAAATTAGCCACTAAACTTAGCAGGTGCTTTTCAGCAAACGGCCAGGTTGCTTCCATCTCTGGAAGTCTGTGTCCTTCCCTGCCTCTGCTCCGAGCCAGGCAGTGGGGGAGTAGTGGGTGCAGGGCAGGCCCAGGTGAGCTAGAGGAGGAAATTAGGGTGGTGGTGGGAGCCGGGGCTGCGGGCTGCTCCTTGGGACTGAGGGTCCTGGTCTGGCCTCTTGGTTGTGGAAGGCTGGATAGAAAGGGGGTGTCCTTGAAACACCCCTGGGGGTGTACAAGGGATATACCATCCAGGCCCAGGGCAGCACTTCCCCAGGGCAGAGGAGGCCTGAGAACAGGAGGAGAAAAGGACAGGTTCTGGAGTATGAGCCAGGCTGGGGCGTTCAGATTTTAGATTTTATTCTCAAGGCCTTGGGAAGCTACAAAGTCCTCTTGAACAGGGGAGTAACCTGGTCAGCACTGCAACGGTCTCTCCTCCCCACATGTAGGGTGGACTGGAGAGGGCCGACTGGGAGCAGGGGACCAGGAGGGAGGCAGCTGCAGCCTGCTCCTGGCCTCCAATTGGCCATGTGAAGATGGATGAAAAGCATGTGCCAAGCAAGGCTGGCACGGCCGTCGGAGATGCCCTGGGAGGATGGCCAGAGCGGCCCGCTCCCTCTTCCTTTCCCAGGGTTGCCAGAGCCAGTGAGTCAGGCTGGGGGTGGAAGGAGGAGGCCCAGGCTGGGGTCGTCAGAGTCAGCACTAAGACCCCAGCTCAGCAGGCACAGGGAGGCTCCGGGAGGAAGAACTGGGCAAGGATGCCAGCACAGGTGGCCCTGGGGGGGGGTAGAGTGAGAGGGTAGCTGGGAGCTGGCAGGGCACAGGGGATGCAGTGGGGCCTGGCTAGCAGCCAGCCACCCTCCTGGCCTCTCTTCGAGGGTTTGCTGTGAGAGCGAGCCAGCGTGTGACACTCTCTGGGCCTCTACATCCTCTCACTCTTCCTAGCTACGCATTTCCAGAGTTGGAGGCAGCCTGGGCAGCCCTGGCGTTCAGGGTGGGCAGGAAGAGAGCCCAGGATGGATCTGGGAAACCGCCCACGCGTGCGGGGTGTGGGCAGTGCTCACACGTGTTTGGTGTTGTGAGGACACACCCACGCCCACGCCTGTGCAGGCTGCCAGCACACGGCCCCAGACCCCTGGCTGGGCGGCCAGAGGGAATGAGGTCAGTCTCGGAGAGCCGCCCTGGGCTCCCACCCCAGGCCTGGGGTCTGATCTCAAGTACACGGCTTGGCCTTCCCTGGGCTGGGATTTTCCATGGTGCTGGTCCAGCGGGGTGGGGAGGGTGGAACCAATGTTGGGGAGACTACTGCTCCTTCCCCCTCTATGGCCTCTCCGGGAACCCCCCAACACACACATACTCCCACCCCTACAGAGTTAGGAGAGGAGCACCTGGAAGGTGCTTGCAGGAATACACAGGCGCCTCCTCTTCTGGGAAGACCCCCCTGAGCCCCAGCAGCTGACTGGGGAGGCCCCTCCTCTGGCCTCCTGCAGTGCCCACCTCCCAGGGTTTGCCTAATCACAGCCCGATGGCCTCTCTGCTCTGCTTCCCACGCAGGGACAGCCACTCTGCTCTCACCTCGGATCCCGCCTTCGGGCACACGTGTCTCTGACCCAGAAAGAACTGTGGGGCGGGGGAGCACTGGCCACAAGCCTTGCTAAGTGCCACGCACCCCCACTGCAGGCCTGGCCTTGCCCTGCCCTGCCTTGCCCCTCCATCAGAACTGACTGGCCCAACAGGGCCCTGGAAAAGCCACTGGCTTAGAGCCTGGACGCAGAGTGAGTCCCAGGCCTGGCTCTGCCAGCCCTGTGGCATTGTGGCCTCAGTTTTCTCTCAGAAGCGGGCTCTGCTGATTGGCCCCATGCTGAGCTCTTGCATTCTAAGGAGAAGTTTAGTGTCCTCGAGGGAAAGCAGCCTCTGCGTGACAGAAACAGAAGGGGAGATCCTAGGAGAGCTATGCAGCCCCTGCCTTGCCAAGGTAGCCAGCCTGCTGGCAGCCCATGCGAATCAGGCAGGCGGTCCTCCACGGAGTCCTTGTGTACAGACGGCCAGGGCCTACCCAAGACTGGGTCATGTCTCGCTCCCCAAAAAGACAGAGGGAGTCCAGTCCCCAGCATCTGGGACTCTCCCCCAGGGCCAGGGCCAAGGGGAGGGGGTGATGTGGAGTACTGGCCTGTGCTGCCGAGTGTAAGGAGGCACCAGAAAACAGTAAAATATCCAAATTTCAGATAAAGACAGGGCCCATACGGCCAATGTTTCAGTTCATCTGGGGCTCTGATACAGCTGGGCCCGGCACTATTACCCACTCTACTTAAAGTAGGAACACATATTTTGTTCATCATAAAATTTTTTTGCTTATTTTTTTTCATTTATAAAAACTGCATTGCACCATTGCTTATTTTGATTGCTGAGTTTTCTGGCTTCCCTTATATCTGGATTCCAGCCTGGCCTCACGGGTTCATCTTGCAGGCACCCCGCAGGGAGCTGTCTGTCCTATGGTCTGGACTCCTGCCTGCGGGAGGTTCCTCTGTAACCATCTGCCCCACATGATCTGGAGAGCGTGGATTCCGCTCACCTCCAGGGGCCACCCCTACGGTCTTTCTGACCCAGAAGGCCTAGGCTTTCGCCTACCTCTGAGTGCTGGGGGCATTTCCAGGGTGGAAAGAGGCCCTCACAGGGGTGAAGGAGAGGTAGGGCACCTTCTCTTTGTCCCCAGATGACCCAAGCCAGGTCAGAAAGGTGCCTTCTCTGAAGGCCACTCCCACACTCCCAAGGCCAGGGGCAGACCCCAGAGCTGCCGGCCACCCCCTGGCCCTGATGAGGCCGCCTTGGGAAGGCTGCCAGGTGGGTGGCAGCAGGGATCTTTTTTTTTTTTTTTTTGAGAGGTCGCCAGACAGAGACAGAGACAGAAAGCGAGAAATCATCCCCCCAGGGGGGATGGCCACACTGCAATCCCTTCTCCTCCAGTCTCCTCTCCGGATCTTGGGCACGCATGCACACGCGCCCAGCGTGAGTTTAAGCCACCTGGTCCAGGACTCGAACCACGGTCGACTACATGGGAGTCCAGCGACATGGCCATTACGCTAACTGCAGCAGGGATCTTGCTGCGGGTCCTCGCTCAGCCGCTCCTGGGCCTTTGGCACAGGGAGGAGGGGCCTAGGTCCTGGCACCGTTCCGCGAGGCCCAGAGCGGTGTCAGGACCAGGGGTGGCTACTCACCGCGGCCGCTCTGGGAGGGTCGGTACACGCTGCCCACGCTGAGGCGGCCCTGCGCGCCGTTCCGCTCCCCGCCCGGCGGGGGCGCGTCGGAGCTGCGCACGGGCAGGTAGGGGGGCTCCAGCACACGGAAGGGGGGCTGGGGCTGCGGCCCCCCGGGG